AAGTAATTTGGAAACTGCTTCAATACTACGGAGTACCGCAAACCTTTATCCGCCTCATTCAACAACTATATGAAGATGCCACATGCCAAGTAATCCACAATGGGAAGCTCAGTGATGCCTTTGAAGTGAAGACAGGAGTGAAACAAGGTTGCCTACTATCCCCCATGATATTCCTTATTGTGGTGGACTGGATCATGCAGCAAACAGTAGGCAGCGAGAAGAGGGGGATACACTGGACGACGGAAAAGAACCTAGAAGACTTGGATTTCGCCGATGACTTATGCCTAATGTCACATAAACTTGAAGATCTGCAGGCAAAAACTAACAAGTTGACAGAAGAGGCAGCCAAGACGGGACTTCAGGTGAATATAGAGAAGACAGAAGTGATGAAGATACCGCACCAACAACTTCAACAACAACAACAACAAACTCCAATCACCGTCAACGGGAGAAACTTGAAGGAAGTAACCTCCTTCACTTATCTAGGAAGCACTGTTTCAACTACAGGCGGGACGGACGAGGACGTCAAAGTCAGAATCGGAAAAGCAAGACAGGCGTTCATTAGCCTGAAACCAGTGTGGAGATCTTCTGCACTCAGCATCTGGAACAAGATACGGATTTTCAACACCAACGTCAAGTCAGTGCTCTTGTATGGCTCAGAGACTTGGCGCGTCACGAAAGGCATTTCCAATAAACTACAGACATTCATCAACAACTGCTTACGCTCGCTGCTGAAGATCAGATGGCCAGAAAAAATAAGCAACAAGGAACTCTGGGAACGAACCAACCAAGAACCTATCACGCAACAAATATGCAGGAAGAAGTGGAGATGGATTGGCCATGCACTGAGAAGGCCGACTGAGGACATCACGCGTCAGGCCCTCGAGTGGAATCCCCATGGGAAGCGACGAGTTGGACGTCCGAGGGTGACATGGAGGAGGTCATGCGAGGAGGAAATGAGAGCTTCTGGGCTGTCGTGGAACCAGGTTCAAAAGATCTCAGAGAACAGAGGTCACTGGAGGCGTGCTACTGAAGCCCTATGTTCCACTAGGAACCCAAGGGACTAATAATAATAATAATAATATCAAGAGAGCTATACACTTTGTAATATGGATAGGAAGAGTTGCCCGTATATCCGGAACAGGTACTAAATCATTCCTGCGCCTACATGTATTAGGTGTTGATTCGATAAACAAAGATTCAGTAATCAACCTGTCCCTTCATTCTACCATCTTACTTGTAAGTATTTTCACCCTATCCCATCCATCGTATTACGTGTTAGTGTGTAATTGCAAGCATAGCGATGGTCAAGCTTTTTCCTAAGTTCCTCAACTTACTAAGAACTAACAATTTTGACTTAGCTATCCGAGCACAAAATGCCTAACTACGTCAACATACGTAGATTGTAATAACGTAAGGAATGTAGATAAAAAGCTTGGTCATCGCTACACTTGCAATTACACATAATAAGCTGGTTGGGACAAGATGAAAATCCTTAAAACTAATATATCAAGATGGAGGGAGAGATTGATGAATGGATCTTTGTTTATCGAATCAATACTTAATACATGCAGCCACTGGAATGATTCACTACCTGTTCTGGATGTATGAAAAATCTTGCTACCTATATTATATCACAAAGGGGGTGATAAAATTAGGACTAAGTATATGAAGGATGATATCTCAGAGGTGTGTAGTTCCCTTGATATGACTATGAACAATAAATGATGTCTGAATTGTAATCCAGTAAACAGCACTGTTCTTTCACTGTGTGATAAATCAATTAGAAATGGGATTCGAATGTTCACTTGTTTTCCTCTGTTAATAGTTAACATATGAAACTGATTGTCTCGGTGAGTGGTACATTAGTGAATGAATCATGATGACACACTGAACGATGTCATACATTTTCCACTCAGATTTATCTATCACCTTAGAGATGAAATCGAAGACATCCTTGACATAATGTTTTACAACTAGTTTGTGAAGGAGTTCTGAGATCTGGAAACAACCAGTTTGCGATTTTATGATGTAGTGAGTTAAACATATCTAAGATTGGCGTAGAATCATGCTCCTGTCAACTTCAATCAAAACATTAGGCCGCATCATCCTGGAGAGCCTAAAGGATGCGGTGGATCCAACTGGATTACGACCGGAACAGGCCGGCTGGCTGACTGGATTCAGGAAGAACAAATCATGTGCGGATCAAATTGTAACGCTACGCTACTCATCATCATACAACAGAGTATACAATGACAGTCAACTCTCTGCATATATATATAGGGCGTACGACTAAGCAACTTAACTAACGCGTATTACCGAACACCTTGGAAAAGGACAGGCCAAGACTCTCTGATTTGTCACATCTAGTTGATAGTGATCACAGGGTAGATAAGACGAAAGTGTCCAAAGTGATTTACACCACATCCTAACGAACCTTTCCGATGGAGTTTGAATCAACCTTTCACGTATAACTGAGGCTATACAACCTCGTTATCCTATTTTTCTTCAACCTTTGACCTACTTTGTCTGCCCATCTGTTTGAACACCATTATACATTGTCGTGTTTTGTCATGATGAACATCTGCATTAACCTTTATACAATCCGTTTCCTCATTGTCATTGCTTGGTTGACATTTTGGAAGTTATGTATATTAAAGTGAATCCTGATGAGATCTAATTGAAAACAGTATTGTTCATTTACATGTCTTGATTTAATTTTCATAATGGGAATTTTGAACACACTTTGAAAAAGTGAGGACATTTGCACTACTGTGACCGAATTTCCAGCTATCTCAACAGGAGTCCTCAACTAATGATTTCAATCATCTCGAGGACATCAACCAGGAGGTTTACATCTCCATACATGGCTCAGACCATCAGTTGGTGCCATGTCTTGATCTCGCCAGCCTAAACCCTCTCCCAACTTTCGCCATCATGGCAGATCGAAGTAAGCTGTACATCGCCATGCCCTATACACGTCCAAGCCATCTGAGTCGACTATGGTTCACAACCTCATCAATCGACTTGCATATACACGGTGATTCCAGCAAACGCTAGCGATTTGTGTAACCGGTACTTCATAGATTCAGTTTCCGGTCACGTAGTGGAACATTTTCCATTTACGTCATCCACTATATGGTACTGAAAATTTTGGACTACGATAAGAAGATTAAATGCATAGAATGCCAGCTACATACGTTAACTCAAAGTTTCTCATTTCAAAGTTCTACTTCCAGTCTTTTCTGAGAAATCGATATTGTCTTGCGATATCAGAGTGTGTTTGAAGTCACCAAAAGTTAGAAGAACAAATATATCAATGAGATTTTTTAAAGTCTGCAGTGAAGCTGGGCTGATCAGTTACCGCTTAACAAGCATTTACACCTTTTCAACAGATATTCTGGATTGTAGTCAAATCACGCCTAATATACAATTAGATAGAGTGCGATAATTTTAATATAATCTTGCTCCACTACATAAATAATGCGATACACCCGCGTACATTGCCATTACTGATTAAACCCCATGAGTGCCATCTGGATCTGTATTCCTGTCGATTACCTCCAATCAACGAACATCTACCAATGTGCACCGCATTGCTGAGCTTCCTAGCTTGGTTACCACATAGCAAATATGATCGTTAGGATCCGGTCAGCACATGGGAGTGGATAAGATGAAGAGGATTACCCTGCGGTGACCAGTCAGTGTATGTAATCGAGTATTACAGGAGGTGAATCACGGTCCGAATAGCTCAGTGATGAAGTGGATTCGAATCTCACTAGGGACATCAGTCCCCTCGAGTTCGCAGATACACCTGGCTCATGAGTTCCAGAAAGCGCGAAACATAAGTCCAGGGCTACCTATCGATTATCTCTAACCAACTAGCATATGTACTCAACTACTCATACATTCAACAAACCAATCAACGTCTCTTTGGCAATTACGGTATCCGTGTTAAACGGATACTTGCGATCACCTTTAAATAAGTGTCAGGCGCGGTTGGCATCTGTGCCTGGAAATCCTTACATTGAACAGTGAAGGCGAACTTCAGTTCCAATTTGTTGGTTTAATTACTTCAGAGAATAAAAAACTAGCTGAACGTTGTAATTCACATTTGCTGAGCAAGAGGATTTAGAATGGCTCCAAGTGCTTTCCACAGAAACTAATACAACCTAAATATGCGGGGGAACAGCTTGCTTCACCTGTGAATCATCCGACTATTTATCAAAAGACGCATATACTGCGCTGCACTTCTTTTTGTCCTGCTATACAACCGTGAGATAAGGCCATTGAAAGTGGAGAATATGAAGCGGTTATAGATGTTTGATCATTCGGTGGAGTCAGCCTGTGAGCGATGTTGAGGTCAGGTGAAGGGTACTAAGTAAGACAGGCAAGTTTATTAATGAAGTTGTGAACCTTCACCAACTGAGACGGCTTGGACATGTGTCGTGCATGCCAATCCACCACCTACTTCGACGTGGTTTCAGGTTGGTGAGACAAAGACATGGTACCAATCAATGAAGTCTCTCACTGTTGGCCTGAGCTGTGTGAGGAGATGTCAACTCCCTGGTTGGGGTCCTCAAGACGTCTGGAATCAGTGGTTTAGAATTCTGGCTGAAAATCGGTCACATTGCCACTGATGTATTTACTCCTTGAATATTCACGCTGACTTCAATCTGCATATTTTTTATTCTCTCACACAACTTTGTCTATACTTTGATATCATTCTTATTCTGTCTCTGTTCTTTGTGTACTACTGTGAAAGGTGGTGACTAGTGTGTGTATGTGTGTGAGGTTCTACGTAGATTTCATCAGTCAATCCGTCAGGGGAAACAGCTATCTAGTTAGCCTACTTACACATTCTATTTCCCATTGCTGGCGTTTACATACACTTGACATAGAAAACTTATTCATTTGGTATAGTATAGTAAGACAGTTTACATTATAATAAAGAGAAACATTTTGTGTAGAAATAAGCGCACTTGACAAAGAAAGATGATTCAGTCAATTAGTGAATCGGCTAAATCAGATTGTCCAAAGACATGGGATATCAGGTTGATAAACAAATCGAAAAATTTCAAATCCTGAGTCACATCTTCATCATCAATCGTAGTAGTAGTAGTAGTACCAGCAGCGGTAACAGGAGGAGATGATATTGACGACTGCTGCTTGATATCCTAGGAAAGTAAGAATTAACGCCTCAATAGAGGCTTATTTCTTACGCGTTTCAGCTTCTGACATCGTTTAGCAATAGTACGAAGATTATGGCATAGATCTGGATGAAATGGTGGCTCCAGAGCAACAAGAAGAGAGAAAATCCATACGCTCTAATGAATAAATACATAGATAAATAAATAAGTTACAATTACCTGAATAACACAAACTCAGGCTTAGACTTCAACAAGAAGTTCAATGAAGAAATAGAGTAACATTTATCACAAAATTCCCAGAGATTGCAAAACGTTAGCTGGCACCAACTTAACACAGATGCTCTTCGTTGAACTAAACACCAACTATAAGTCATTGGTATCACCAATAGATCTGATACAATAAAATGTCTGGCTCATTACCTACTATACGAATCTACATAAGTAGGTTGAATGAGTTTCATTCGTTCATTCGTTCGCTCGTTCTACCAACCAGTAAATTAAGGTTAGCGATCATCAAGTCAGAAAATACCTTAATCAGTAAAAAGAAAAGTATAGTTGTCTGTATTATATCATAGTCGGCACATCCAGCTGACAAGTCCCAAGTAGGACTAAATGCGCATCCCGGGTTCTACTGCTAGCCACTACCCATAATTACTATACATAATTAAAACGCAGGCAATATCAAGGCGTCCGCAAAGGAGCCCATATGCCAATAGAGACCGATCAATTCAGTATAATACAAGCAATTATACTAAAACTACACCCGTTGCACAAGAAGTAGCTATCGTGGTTCGGTGGATAATGCTCTGACGTTTGAAGTGATCGCTCTCGACTCGGAATCTCGGTGGGAACAACACCATTCACTGCGAGGCAGGTACATTCAGTTGACGAGTCCCAAGTAGAACGAAATGCGCATCTTGAATTCCACTGTTAGCCACTATCCATCATTACAGTACAAAGAAAATACTTTCACAGCGAAATTATTGAGCGTAGATATTCCCAAAAATGTGTTCTTCTTCCTCTAAAGAATATCACATAACCTGAAATGCATATTTCCCATAAGAGCTCACACTTCTACTTTTTGTGTGTGTTCAATAGAAATTTACAATTACTAGATATAGAAGTAGTATTCATCATGGACTGACATCAGTTGGGGAACCATTAAGAATCTGGGAGCACTGGACAGATGTTTCGTCCAACTAGTATGGGACTCCTCAGCAGTACGCACACACGACTCGGCTGGGGATGGAACTCAGGACCTTCAGGTTTCACGGCGAACGCGTTAACCATTCAGCCACTGGGTCGGTTTCCAGTGGTTCACAATTTCCAACTTCTAATGAGAAGCCGTGACCTGTGGGGTCAACCAGTCGGAAGTGAAGTGGATGCTAACTGAGGACCTTGGGTGATAGTCACGCTATGTTGTGAATTAACAGAAGTTGGAAGTTGTGAACTACTGGAAACCGACCCAGTGGCTGAATGGTTAACTCGTTCGCCGTAAAACCTGAAGGTCCCGAGTTCCATCCCTAGCCGAGTCGTGTGTGCGCACTGCTGAGGAGTCCCATACTAGTTGGACGAAACAGCTGTCCAGTGCTCCCGGATTCTTAGTGGTTCCCCAACTGATGTCAGTCCATGATGAATACTACTTCTAAATTAAAAATCCCTATTCATCTCAAAAACAAATTACTAGATATATCCAAAATCTAGAGAGAATGAATGAGAAGCGCTCTTCGGCATTCCTTAATGTCATCGGAATCAAGCATCAACATATTGTTTGCAGTAAAGTTATCTGATGGGATCTGAAATCGAACCCCTCAACTACTCACATCTCTGTGTTGTGTAGTAAAATGTATATTTAACATTTGAACTGTGAATCATTAACTTAGGCAATCGGTTGATCATAAGTTATAGGTTGGTGATAAGCCATAGTTCAAGTTCAACATCCAGAACAGAAACTGAAGGACGATGTAAAAAAAAGGACATCCTCACGTCAGTCAACCATCAGAACAAAATGGGAGACATTGAGCAACATCCCTAAAGGAACCAGCGTGGAAGAACACTGGAAGTCTTTCAAACAGACGTGGGAGGAAACCTGCATAACCATATTAGGAAGGAAGAAAAAGCAAGACAAGGAACGGATGTCCACAGATACATGGAAGCTGATAAAGGAGACGAAGAGGGTGAAACAGAAAATAAATCAGTGCAAGGATGAATAACGAAAAGAAAAAACTGATTACAACGTATAAAACACTGGAGAAAGAAGGGAAGAAGAGTGTGGGCAAAGACAAAAGACACTTCTACGACATATTGGCAAGTGAAGCAAACCGACTGTTGGTAGGAGACACCTGACAACATTATATCAAATAACCAGGTTACTATCTGGAAAGAGATCAACACGACACAGACAAAACCAATGAAAGATAGTGAAGGAAAGGTAGTTAACAAAGAGGAGAAACAAAGGAACCAATGGGCTGAGCACTTCAAAAAACTCTTGAACCAACCACCATCATTTGCAACCCATCCAGAAATACCACCATCAACCGTAGAATTACCAGTGAACACAAGTCCTCCGACAAAAGCAGAAGTCCTGACCACCATCAACTTGCCAAAATCCGGGAAAGCAGCAGGACCAGATGGAAGTCCTCCAGAAGCAATGAAAACAAACGCAGTAACAACAGCGGGCACCTCACACCACACCACTAATGCAGAAGGTCTGGAAGAAAGGGAAGGTATTTACCCACTGATAGGAAGAAGGGCTACCTTGTCTAACTCACAAAGAAGGGAGACCTAAGTCTTTGCAAGAACTGGTGCGGAATCATGCTCCTATCCACCCCAAGCAAAATATTATGCCACATCATTCTGGAGAGACTAAAGGATGTGCTGGATTCAAAGCTACGACCGGAACAGGCTGGCTGGATTCAGGAAGTACAAATCATGTGCGGATCAAATTGAAACGTTAAGCATCAGCATACAACAGAGGATAGAATGCCAGTCAACTCTCTACCTCAACTACATTGGAAAGACTTTCGACACATGCCAAGTGTTTCACAATGGAAAGCTCAGTGATGCCTTTGAAGTGAAGTAGTACAGTTTAACGAAGTTCGATTCATCATGTGACAACATTAGAATGCCTCAATTATCAATTATCCTTACCCCAACCTAAGTCAGTACAACTGTCCTAATATGACGTAATAAGCTGACCAGTTTTACATGAGTCTTATATTGAGCAAACAACAAACTTCTACATACAAATCACTTTATTCCCCTGTTGACTAGAAGCATTTACCATCGAATTTTCGTTAGATTATCCGATGAAAAGTAATACTCAGTTCGAAGGTATGTGAAGAGTTTATCATGGATTGACGGTAGAGAGTCGCTAGAAACCTGAAAGTACTGGACAGCTGCTTCATCTTAGTCTCGCACTTCCTCTCCAAAGTAGAAGTAGCCTACTGAGATGGCTATCAACTAACAGGTTACGGGTTCAAGGCCCGCTCCCTTAACCAAGGTTTACGCAGTCAGGTATTATCACACAATAAATGCGGCTCTTTACCTACTGCATAGATATACACAAAGTAGCTGAGTGCATCTGCTATCTGTGCTGAGCAGCACGCTATCACGATCGAAACCGGGGATATCAAAGTTTCATGGCATCACGTCATCACTCAGCTACTAGGTTTACTGGCTCATATTTCTCAACTTCTGTCTACTCACCTGTTGATTTTGATTCATAAGGCCAACTCCTATGCAAAACAATGTAGAACACCGCACTCAAGTATACAGCTTCAAATTGCGCGAGCAATCTAACGAGGACATCTACGATCAAACATCTGTAACCGCTTTATGTTGCCTACTTTCAACCGTCATGCCTCACGGTCGTATAACAGGACAGAAGAGACTGCAGTGCAGTGTATGCGTCCTTTGATAGATAGTCAGATGTCTCAGCAGTTGGTGAAAAACCAAATGGACCTTCTGAATCCGAGCTAAGCTTTCGTCAGCAACCAGTTCGCTCGGGCTGACAAAATTCCCCAAGTAAGTGAAGTGGTCAACACATTCAACCACTTCGCCTCCTATCAATAAAGTAAAGTACTTGCAGCAGACCAATCCTGGAGCATCATCTTACATTTGGCAGGTGTCAGAGAAACACACATACCAAACACACTCCGACTTCTGCTCAACATGTCAGCGTCTTCAGTCAGCATACTCCAAGTCAACCAGATGACCTCCAGGGAGTAGGTCAAATCAGACGTACATACGGTTAATTCCATTCGTACGTCAATAAAAAAAGTTAAACTGGAATGAGGAGACAGTCGGCGTCCCTGGTGGACACCATTAGTTGTGGTCAGTTCACATAATAACTCTCCATGAACCCTTACACGGTTACGTGAGTTCGAGTAGAGAATTTTGCTAATCAACATGTGCTTCCTCGGTACTCCCCTCACAGTCAGACATTGTCAAGACACCTCAAATCACAAAACATTTGAAGATGAAGTCAATATGAAGAGAAATTGACAAGTGATAAAATATGAACTAATAATCCTAAAGACGACTAAAAAATGGTAAATTATTTTACCGACTGTATGAATATGCAAACACTAACGATCACGAACCACATGGATTGATATCAAGTCTTATAGCTTGACTACCAAGACTTTACTTTCAACCTAATTCAAATATTTTAAGTTGTTATTTATCGTAGACTACTGACATCAGTTGGAAAGGAACAAAAGAAACCTGGGAGCACTGGACAGCTGTCTCATCCCACTCGATGGGACTCCTCAACAGTGCACACCCGCGACCCCGCCGGGGTTCGAACCCGTGACTTCAGGTTCCCTTGCCAGCAAGTTACCATTGAGCTAGCCACTGGATCAGAATCCAATGCTCTATATTTCTAATTTCTGTTCGCTCACGATATAGCGCAACCGCCACCTAATATCATCGTTGACTAACTGTCCTCACGACCATCAGGCTTTGCCCCCACAGATCATGACTTCTCACTGGAACTTCGGGAATACCTCTCGAAGATAGTCAGTCACCAATGAGCACCAGTTCAATTGAATTTTGAGGGAGTTGGGGTAACGTGCTGGCCACGGAACCTGAAGGTCGTGGGTGCGCACTGCTGAGGAGTCGGACGAAACAGCTGTTCAATGCTCTTAGGTTTCCTTTGTTCCTCCTGCAACTGATGTCAGTCTATGATGAATAACAACTTGAAATACACATATATGTCAAGGTTAAAAAATCACTTACCAATTTATAATTCCAGTGCTTTTTTTTACACAGAGACGCAGCTGTATCAACCAGTATCATTATTTCTGACTAGAAATAAAGATGTTAGAAACAAAAGAAAAATGAGAAATAAATACTCACTCTGCTTAGTTGAGCAATCCATGTTAAAGAGGGAGAGTATTCAAGAATTGTTGCCTTTGTTAATGGAATTGAAGTTTTAATCTGTGAAAATTAAATTAGAAAAAGGAGAAATTATAGTAATTAAAGAGAAAATAACTGGTAGGTAAAGATTAATATACAGAAAACCAACAGAGATTGAAGAGTTTATCAACTTAGGTTTTTATCTTCAAAGATTTAGAAGATCTGTTTTGAAAAAAAAACACGATCTATATGCAACGTTCTATTATTAAGCCTGATGGTCATAAGGACAGTTACTCAACGATGATATTAGGTGGCGGTTGCGCTATATCGTGAGCGAACAGAAATTAGAAATATAGAGCATTGGATTCTGATCCAGTGGCTAGCTCAATGGTAACTTGCTGGCAAGGGAACCTGAAGTCACGGGTTCGAACCCCGGCGGGGTCGCGGGTGTGCACTGTTGAGGAGTCCCATCGAGTGGGACGAGACAGCTGTCCAGTGCTCCCAGGTTTCTTTTGTTCCTCTCCAAATGAAGTCAGTAGTCTACGATGAATAACAACTTGAAATATTAAGAAACGGTTATCCACTTGGATTTTTTAATTCCAACACGAAAGGAAAGTCATAGTACAAAAAGTATTGATCGTCTCAAAGGAAACTTTCTACTTAAAATTGGAACTCAAAGGTGACATAGCAGTTGAAATCGTCAAAACCCACCTCTTAAGATCTTTGAGGAAGATATTTCACGCAGTTTGTCAGACAACCACATCTTCTAGTAGGACATCAATCCATCCATGCCTTAAGTACAGAATGTCGCCTTCGGTCACCTCATTTTCTATTTGTCAGTTTACTTGCTTCGATAAAGCAGCGTATATTGGCCGTGGATACCATCAAGTATGTAAGGGTGTTTTCAAAATATTGTCTACATTAGTATAATTGTTTTTATATCATCCCGTAGTTGATTGGACTGAATTGATCGGTCCCTATTGGCATACGGGATCCTGTGTGGATGCCTCGATATTACCGGTGCTCTAATGGTAGTAATGATAAATAGTAGCTAGCAGTGGAATCCAGGATGCGCATTACGTTCTATTCGGGACTCGTCAGCTGGATGTGCCTGCTTCCCAGCGAGTGATGTTGTTCCCACCGGGATTCGAACTCGGGAGTACCGGTAATACCGAGGCATCCACACAGGATCCCATACGCCAACAGGGACTCATCAATTCAGTCTAATCAACGACGGTATCACATAAGAACCATTATACTAAAAACTATACCCGTCGCACAAGAAGTGGCTATCGTGGCTCGGTGGTGTAGTGGATAATGCTCTGGCGTTTCAACCGATCACTCCGACTCCGAATCCTAGTGGGAACAACATCACTCACTGGGAGGCAGGTACATCCAGCTGATGAGTCCCAAATGGAACGAAATGCGCATCTTGAATTCTACTGCTGGCTACTACCCATCATTGTCTAAATTGGTTATCCAGAAGTGCTGGTTCTATAACTGGACACCATGTCATCTCCTGACACTTGGCCCCTCCCTGTACTTCATTCAGAGTGTCTCTCTAGAATTCCAAAAGGGCTCCAACTGCTTCGTCTATACATAGCCGAATCATTCGCAATTTACAAACTTAAACCTGATCTTTGTGTTAAAAGATAATTAATGGCCAAAGCAGTAATTGCTTTTTCCATTAGAAAAACTTTCTATCCTATTCTTCAGCATTATAGTAATCACATGACCTTATTGATTGTCAAAAAACTGTTATTTACTTCCAATGATTTCGCAACACTTTAGAAAGTAAACTCCGTCGAAGAAATAATTTCCTTAAGTCTTACTTCTTTATTTTAACACAAAATTTGAACTAGTAAAAGCTGATGAGACCTAAACGGTACGAAACGCAAGTCCTTGATTCCAACTGATGTCACTCCATGATCAATTCCAGCCTAAAATCACAACAAAACCAATAATCAGGCAAAATTGAGGCGTTCAAATGGGAGCCCATATGGTTACTGAGGTCGATAAATTCAATCTAGAATACCAGCGGAAAATCACAAGTACCTACAAGTAATACAAACAACTGACGCCCGTTGCACACAAAGTAGCTGTTATCCATAGGTGGCCTAATAGATGACGCTTTGGTGTTTGAAGCGATGGACGCCAGGTTTGAGTTTCAGTGGGAACAACGTCACTTATTAGAATGTGAGCACATCCGGTTTAGGAATCGTAAATAGGCTGAAACACGTGCCCTAAACTCCACTGCAAGCCACCACCAAACAAATTACAATAGTAGAAGTATTATCATACAACTTAACAACTGTATGCACGTTTCTGGATTCAACTATATGCTGCAACTCTTGTGTTCTGCTGTTCATAGGTCTAGGCACTGAACTACTAGCAAGTGGTTCACGGGTTCGAACCCTGACCTATCTAACTAGGTTTTGATCAACCAGTCTACATCACCACACATGACTCAGACCAACAGTCAGGGATTTCATGCGCTGGTACTATACCTTCGTCTGGACACTCTCAACCCTCTGCCAACCTAATCAAACTTCCTTTAGTATTGCTCGTCGAGGTAGGCGGTGACTCGGCATGCGCAGTACGTATTCAAGTGATCTTAATCCTGCCAAGTACCCTTCACCTGACCTCAGCTCCCAGTGGTTTAAGCCAGTGAGCCGTAGATCCATATTAGTACATATGACCTCAAAAATAACATAATTCGGCGATCAACTGAAAACTGTCATAAATACTTAGGTCGTCAAAAGTGGTTCTGGGCTGCACCGGGGCACAAGATCGTTGAAAGACCACCGTACAAGCCATTAAGTTGAAGCTACATAGCTATTAGTTCGGTATCAGTGACCTTGTCCTATAGATTTGTTCATTTAAGTAGTGTGAAGTGGTTGTAAACGGTTGTTGAGGTGATAAAAATCAGAGTTTGGAGAATTGAGTACGTTAAAATGGTTTTAAACCAAAACGTTTCTATCCATTTCGTCTTGTTTTGCATATTAAATATTTTTTGTAATCTGTCCATCAAGATTTTTTGGATTTTACTTTACTATTTCATGCTTTTTTTATACATCATTTCATCAACTGTACTCCTTCGAAGACTTAAATCTCGAAAAGACGTATTATACTCCAAAGTTGAACTGTGTACTGCTTGTTCCATCAGCTGGATTTCAGTATTCACACTGGAATCTCCTGTACATAAACTTCTACTCTAGACTTTGTATCATCCTATATATGATTGTTTCAAGCTAGAGTAAGACAATTAAGTTAACCTGAGCTACGCCGTTTCTGCATACACATATTACTATTACTATCATTTGTCTCTTGGGTTCCTAGTGGAACATAAGGCTTCAGTAACACGTCTCCATTCCACTCTCTTCTCTGCAAACTTTTCAACCTGGTTCCACGTCAGCCCACAAGCTCTCATTTCTTCCCCACACGATCTCCTCCATGTCACCCTCGCCTCGGACGCCCAACTCGTACATTTCCCATCTGGGTTCCACTCGAGGGCCTGGTCTGTCTCGTAATGTCCCCGAATGGTCTTCTCAGTGTATGTCCAGCACAATCCATCTCCTCTTCCTTCCAGTGCATATTTGTTGAGTGATAGGTTCTTAGTAGGTTAGTTCCCAGAGCTCCTTATTGCTTATTCTTTCTGGCCATCTGAGCTTCAGTATCGGGTCAGCATAGGTGGCAGTTGTTGATGAATGTCTGTAGTTTGTTGGAAATGCCTTTCGTGACACGCCAAGTTTGTGAACCATATAGAAGCACTGACTTGACTGACATTGGTGTTGAAAATCGGGATCTCGTTCACACTTTATGCTGAGTGCAGTGTAGTAGATCTGCACACTGGTTTCAGGTTAATGAACGCCTGTCTTGCTGTGTTTCCGATCCTGGTTGGCTTTGACATCTTCGTCTGTGCCTGTGCCACCTGTAGTTGAGACGATGCTACCTAGGTAGGTGAAAGAGACTGCTTCCATCAAGTTTCTCGTGTTGATGGTGATTAGAGCTTGTTGTTGTTGGTGGTGGTGGTTGGGTATCTTCATCACCTCTGTCTTCTCTACCTTCACTTGAAGTTCCGTCTTTGCTGCCTCCAGTAAGTTGGAGTCTCAATGTCTGCTGTAGCAGTGAAAAGTGATGACAGTCCTGAAGTTACTAGAAAAGGATATGTGAATTAAAACTGACGATGTAACTGCTTTAAAAAGTAGCAGATTCAATGACTTCTGTCTCAGAACGGATATCCTGAAAGGGATTTACGAATAAGGCTGGGAGTATCCCTTCCGCTACTTGGGAATCAAGCATACCAACAGCCCTTAAGCATCGAGACATTATGGAGAGAGCTAAAAACGGAACCGGCAAAATAAGTACTTATTCGGTTCTTGTACTGGAATCTTTCGACGCTTCAGTTAGTATGATACAAACTATTATACTAGTTTTTGAGGGAGTTGTGGAGATTTGGAAATATTTCAAGTTGTTATTCATCGTAGACTGACATCAGCCGGAGGGACAAAGGAAACATGGGAGCACTGGACAACCGTTTCGTCCTAGTATGGGACTCCTCAGCAGTGCGCACCCACGACCCCACACCAGCAGGGATCGAACCCGCGGCCTTCTGGTTCCGTGGCCAGAGCGTTACCATTGAGCCACTGGGTCAGAATCCAATGCTCCATATTTCCAACTTCTGGAGCATTGGATTCTGATTCAGTGGTAACGCGCTGGCCGCGGAACCTGAAGGTCGCGGGTTCGATCCCTGCTGGTGTGGGGTCGTGGGTGCGCACCGCTGAGGAGTCCCATACTAGGACGAAACGGTTTTCCAGTGCTCACATGTTTCCTTTGTTCCTCCGGCTGATGTCAGTCTACGATGAATAACAACTTGAAATATTATACTAGTCCCTACTCGTGAGCTTGCACTGCAGACCAGTCAGATTTGTATAGAACTTGCTAAAAATACGGCGATTAAAGTTATGCTGGTGATTTGTGGCGCTCTTCTAAAAGATCATTTGATAAGAATTAATCAGACAGTTCACATTTTGATTACGACTCCTGGTCGCTTAGTGATTTACTGAATCGGGGTCTAATTGACGTATTCAGTTGTAAAATTGTTGTTCTTGATAAAGCTGACAAACTGCTCTCTGAGGAACTTACGGATGGAGTTGAGGATATCATGAATAGTGTGGACAAAAGTCGACAGATCCTCATCTACTCAGCAACGTATCCAGTCGCAGTTCAGTCATTTATGGCGAGGCATTTAAGCAATCCTTATCAGATTAACCTGATGGAGGTACTTACGTTAGAGGGGGATAACAGAATATTATGCCTATGTCCAAGAAAAGCACAAGATTCACTGCTTAAATACTTTGTTTTCCAAGCTACGGATCAGTTAATCCATAATCTTCTGTAGCTCAGCTCAGCGAGGTGAACTTCTTGTTAAAACGATTTTCCTGTTACTATATAAATACCAGAATGTCTTAGCTAGATCGCAACCGAGTCTTTTACGATTTTCGCAATGACTGTTGCTGCAACCTCATCTGTACAGATTTATTGACCCATGGGATTGGCATTCCAACAATGTATGATGTTATTAACTTCGACTTCCCAAAATATTCAGAAACATATTTGCACCGTATTGGCAGGTCTGGAAGTTTTGGTCATTTGGGTATAGCTACTAACCTAGTCATATATGCTGATCGATATGCACTCAAAACGGTGGAGACAGAGCCTGTTACCGAGATCAAACCGATCCCGAAAGAAATCAACAAACGATTGTATGTGGCCGAGTTTACCAAAAAGAAAATACTTTGGACCCAACAACAAGAGAAGTTCTGTTCAATGGTCGTGAGTTATCTCCTGATAGCACCGAGGAGGTTGTGAACAATCACTAGTACATATGACTTCCCGGTGACTCCTGGTGGTTGGCATGAGGTGCTCGCCAAGTGAGAATCCCTGATTTTTGAGTTTGGGTTCTCTATTACTTTCATCGCAACTTCGATGGACCCATTCCCACTCGTGATATGCTGCCCCCCCCCTTCTGTCCTTTTCAGCTTGAAGTTTGTTTTTCAAACGTTGATATCCCTTCATCTGATATAAGAGAATAAATTCTAGTTAAAAGAGTCCTGGTGGTAGTTAGTCTGCCTTTTGAACTGCTTTCAGAAACTACAATAATCATATCCTCAACAGTTTATTCATTGAATATTTCTGCATATACTCTTTAAAAGTTCTACTTCATCCATTTTGTGTAAAACAGACAGATTAGCATACAACCTGGCATTACTTCAGGCTTCTTTACTTCATTGGTAAGTGTCAATAACAAGTGGATAGTGCTAGGAAAAAGTGTATGATAGTTCATGGAATATATAGAGAAGGGCTAATGAAACTATGGAGAGCACGAAAGATAAAAGACACTTCTACGACACATTGGCAAGTGAAGCAGAACGGGCTTCTGGTAGGAGAGAACTGAAAACATTGTATCAAATAATCAGGTTACTATCTGCTAGGGAAGAGATCAACACAGATGAAACCAATAAAAGATGATGAAGGAAATCTAATAACCACCGAAGAGGAGAAACAAAGGAAACGGTGGGCTGACCACTACAAAAAACTCTTGAGTCGACCACCACCTGCACTTCGTCTAGAAATACCACCTGTAGCCCAATCACAGAACTACCAGTGAACACAAATCCTCCAACCAAAGTCGAAGTCATGAACGCCATAAAGCCACTGAAATGCAGCAAGGCGGCAGGACCCGATAAGATACCGCCAGAAGCAATAAGAACAGACGCAGAGACAACAGCGCACATGCTCACACCTCACCACTAATGCAGAAGGTCTGCAAGGAAGGGAAGGTATCTGCCCACTGATAGGGAGAAAGGCTACCTTGTCTAACACCCAAGGAAGGGAGACCTAAGTCTTTGCAAGAACTGGCGCGGAATCATGCTTCTGTCCACCCCAAGCAAAATATTAAGCCGCATCATTCTGGAGAGACTAAACAATGCTCTGCATTCAAAATTACTACCGGAACAGGCTGGCTGGATTCAGGAAGTACAAATCATGTGCGGATCAAATTGTAACGCTACGCTACACATCATCATACAACAGAGTATAGAATGGCAGTCAACTCTCTCTCTCTCTCTCTCTCCATCAACTTCATCGACTTTGAAAAGGACTTCGACACCATCGACCGACAAGTAATTTATCAGGCAGTTGCTTCAACACTACGGAGTGCCATTAGTCTTTATCAACCTAACTCAACAGCTATATGACGACGCCATATGTCAAGTGATCCACAATGGAAAGCTCAGCGACGTCTTCGAAGTGAAGGCGACAGGAATAAGACAAGGTTGTCTACTTTCACCGATGATCTTCCTGATTGTGGTCGACTGGACTGGGCCATGTAGCAAACCGTACGGAGCAAGAAGATGGGCAAAAGCTGGACCAATAAAAAGCGCCTAGAAGATTTCAATTTCGCCGATGACTTGTGTCTAATGTCTTGTGGTACAAACTCGAAGATCTACAGGCAAAATTCAACAAGTTGACAGAAGAGGCGAGGCAGCGAAGACGGAACTTCAAGTGAAGGTAGAGAAGACAGAGGTGATGAAGATACCCAACCACCACCAACAACAACAACAAGCTCTAATCACCATCAACACGAGAAACTTGATGGAAGCAGTCTCTTTCACCTACCTAGGTAGCATCGTCTCAACTACAGGTGGCACAGGCACAGACGAAGATGTCAAAGCCAACCAGGATCGGAAACACAGCAAGACAGGCGTTCATTAACCTGAAACCAGTGTGCAGATCTACTACACTGCACTCAGCATAAAGTGTGAACGAGATCCCGATTTTCAACACCAATGTCAGTCAAGTCAGTGCTTCTATATGGTTCACAAACTTGGCGTGTCACGAAAGGCATTTCCAACAAACTACAGACATTCATCAACAACTGCCACCTATGCTGACCCGATACTGAAGCTCAGATGGCCAGAAAGAATAAGCAATAAGGAGCTCTGGGAACTAACCTACTAAGAACCTATCACTCAACAAATATGCACTGGAAGGAAGAGGAGATGGATTGTGCTGGACATACACTGAGAAGACCATTCGGGGACATTACGAGACAGACCAGGCCCTCGAGTGGAACCCAGATGGGAAATGTACGAGTTGGGCGTCCGAGGCGAGGGTGACATGGAGGAGATCGTGTGGGGAAGAAATGAGAGCTTGTGGGCTGACGTGGAACCAGGTTGAAAAGTTTGCAGAGAAGAGAGTGGAATGGAGACGTGTTACTGAAGCCTTATGTTCCACTAGGAACCTAAGGGAAAAATAATTATAACAGTAGTAAGTTTTGATACCGTCACTCTCTTCCACCCCTACTGTGTGATTGTGTCCAAGGGATGCATAACTGTATAGCCAAGGGTAGAACTAAACGCTGATGGGTCATTGGGCATCGAAATCTCTGCATAGATATAAAAGGCTTGGTTGGCTTTTGCCAAGTTAGGTCATCTATGGCACCGCCGCGATATCTGACTGTCTATCAGGGTCGAGTGTACTGTGCTACAGCCCGCTCTGTTCTACTGTAAAAAATATGAGAAGGCTTCAAGTGTTTGACCACCATTGCCTTCGTAGCATAGGTCGTGTTTCGTGGTGTCACCACGTGAGTAACGCAGACGTCAGGTGTAGAGTTTTAGGGGGAGGTATAATTCAGTTGATGCAGTTGTGAACCTTCATCGACTGAGATGGCTAGGACGTGCTACGTATGGCCTAGTCACCGTCTGTCTCGTAGTACAATCTTGGAAAATGGCTCGGGGTGGCCAGACTAAAAAATAACATTAATGCATGAAGTCGTTGACTGTTCGTTTGAACCACGTACAGCGATGCAGACTAACCGGTTGTTGCCTTGTTATTTGATGTGCAGATATGTGAGGTGTGGCAGCTTAGACCATTACGCAGTTATGCTTCATCCTATGTTGATCTTGATGATGTTCTACGACTGTTGATATTATTAATTTCACTTACTAGTTTTCCTTGTCGTTGACTTTTATCTCCATATCTCAATGTGAAGCATAGTAACTTGGACCAGTCTACACCATAATGTCAGGCTCTATGTTGCTCATAATCATCTGTCCATTTAAAAAGCGAAATGATGAAGTCAGATAAAAGACAATCTAGTGGATATGAATAAGCTTAGCTAGCGCATTTCATTTGAAGTAATTTATACATTGTAAGCTGTGAAACAAGCTATGAAATGAAGTCAACTCACCATTTCATCTGGACTTTGTAATACCAATGATTTTAAACACTGATACTCCTATGAGATAATAAATTTAAGTGAAAATACTTGATTACATCAACAGTTTTACGGAAATAAAGCACTTGACTCTCTTGTAATTTTTTGTAGAACTGATTTCACAAGTCTTCCACTTTTTATGATTGTTAGATTCAGTAATTTCAAGTTGTGAGGTAATTGTTTGATCAATTGCACTACTTATAGTCAAGTCTTGAGAACATATTACACTTGGAAATGATGCAGCTTGATATCTATCAATAAAATAACATTGTTGTTAATTTACCAAAAAAATGTATACTTACCGCACAAATTTTAAATATTCATCAGGTGATGTAAGAGCTTTCTCACATGTGGGTGGATCATTCACATCGATGTCTGAAACTGGTAATGCTTGTACAAGTAGACTGCATACATCTGAGCCTTCTGAATCAGACATTTGATAAGAAGAGAGAGAGCAGCAGCAGTTTCCAACTCTACTTAAGGTATATGTTGAATGCAGTTAACAAAAAAACAAACTGTTATAGAGTAACAAAACGTTTGTAAAATTTCAAGTGAGTTTACATTCGACTTGCTCAGTAATATCAAAATGGAATAATTAACGATATCATAACATATGAATTAAGAAAATTACCAAATCCTTGGTGATAAACTGGTTTGAATATATATTTTAAGCAGAAATGATTCCTCTCAGAACTATTCTTAAGATAGACCAAAGTTAGGATACATTGAGCAATAGTTGGTTGGGTCAACTTTAGCATATACTTCAATTGTCTTGGTAATTTAGTCAAACAATGGCAGTAAAGCGCTAATGAAATATTAAAAACTTTCGATGTAGTATGGGAAGACGAATTTCTATTTCGAAATACCCCCCAAATATAAACGGATCCTGAATTCATTACTTATGTGCCTAGAGTTAATCAGATTCACAAGCATTGATTTGTGTAGAGTTACCGACGGAAAACTTTATGAAACCTGAAAACACCAACTGTTAGCTGCTAACTTGATGTGGTGGTCGGGCTTGCACATCACACAGACCCAACGAGCTGTGCTGACGGAATACTTGTTCCTTCGAGGTCCTACCATGCCAGAAAGGTCAGTGGGATAGTGGTAAGACAAAAGGCAGGTGCTATTATAGTGTAAAGTACTACACTGTAATGGGGATCTGAGGACGAAGACATATTGCTGCTAGCTGGATGAGGTGTGACAGCAATAAGGTGTTTCTCCTGGATGACTAGCAGTGCCATACCAATGCTGCTAACCTTATGGGAAGAAGGGGCTAGGAAAGGTCGGCCTTAAAAACAGCACGATCCCCTACCCTACGATCTTCCAACCCAGGAGGCATGCGTTTATAGCTCGGTTTGAAAAACCAAGCCAAAGCCTCAAACCTCCAAAAAGGCTGAATGTAACCGGCCTTGAGCAAATATCCGTTAAGCTGTGGCTATGCACTACTACAACAAAACCAAATCCTTTTTCAAGTACCCCAAGAAGAACTAGCTTCTCACAGTGTAGGCAGCCAGGAAGTGTCGACAGCTCTCAAGTTCCTTAGATAACTGTCCACCTTCCATATGCTTACCTTCTCATCCTTCCTCGTATCACTCCGTCAATATTCCGGCATGATCCTTAATTCCTTCCCAGTCCACAGTCCTGAATAACCACAAGAGTTCACGGAATGGTATCTTACCGACTGATGATAATTTAACTTTTACCCTTTTTACAGATTATCATACTTTTTCTAAATACTACTTAATTGTACAGCTGCTACGTAAAATCTTTTCTCCTGCTAAGTATCTTACTAATTTACATCACGGGTATTTCCTTACACTTGAAAATACAACCAACTACTAGATTTCTGAGGAATTGTAACACTCGACAAACCTGAAATGATTGAGTGATCTGACAATGAAAAGTGAGCAGACTTAATGAAACCACAAGAAATTTTTAAGTGAATTATTCCTTATCATGGTACAAGTTTACTAACCATCGATTACTCTATCCATTTCCTTAGGAGCTGTCTTTTCTATCTCCTTAGATCCACTGGATTTGTTTTACCTCTTTTAACAGAAAATTGGAGGTGGTACCAAGCTTCTTCAGGATGCGTGACGTTCTATTCCGATAATTGGTCAGATACTTCCACTCTGAAAACAACCTTACCACTTTCACTATGGATTTGGACATTTGAAGGTCCTTCAGTGATATTCTTCGTATGCTACGCTGGTTTTGACCAGTGCATGATCACTAAGCCCACGTTCCAGGGAGTGACTATCTTTCGTAAACCATGTCCAAAGACGACTGATGGGAATATGGTTTACCTGTCTATCATTTAGTTGAAAACGGTGGATATCATGTCAAGTATTTTCTTTCCTTGTGTGTATCGGTCACGGATAAGTGACTGAATAAAAAAGGTTGTAGCAGGTGATCACCAACATCAGTTAACTTGGATGATATTCTAAAAGTATCCCCAAAAGCGCCTTTCTATCTGATTTAACCTCGCCATTTGTGTATTGAAGTTTCCTGGAGAGACAAACATTCGGCTTTCAATGGAAAGCTTAACAATTTTCCACAGGACCTATTTTCATTTTTTTTATCTGAACTCCAGTCAGTGGATGCATAAGCAGAAATATATATATATATATATATATATATATATATATATATATATATATATCTTTCACTTACTTGAAGAGTTGCATCAACCCGAATGTGTTGGTTGCTGACAGAATCGCAGCTCGGATACAGGGCTGTTTGGCATTTCTCAACTTGGGTCATGCGTGTAGTCAAAGGGCGAGGTATGCCACTACCTGTTAAAGGACGAGTAAACTGCACTGCAGTCCGCTCCGTCCTCTCAGACACGACCGTTAAAAGTAAAATACACGAAGCGATAACAGGGTTTTGACCACAGATGTCTTCGTAACATTTGTTGTGTGTGGTGAAATCACTGTGTGAACAGTGTTGAGGTTGGAAGAAGGGTATTACGCAAGTCGACTGATGAAGTTGTGAACCATAGTCAATTGAGATGGCTTGGACATGTACTGCATATGTCCAGCTACTGCATACCTCGATGTGCAATGTAAAGTTGGAAGAGAGTTCAGGGTGGCGAGACCAAGACGTAGCACCAATCGATGAAGTCTCTAGTTCTTGACCTGTAGTGTGGGGAGATGTAGATTACATGGTTAGCGTCCCTAAGACGACTGGAATCAGTGGCTGGGGCTGAAAACCGGTCACAATGGCGCAGCGATATTCATTCTTTAGCGTCTTCTAAGGCTTGAATATTCACACTAACCTTTATCTTTAAATTGTTTATTCTCTCATACAACTTTGTGTACCTTGATCACTCTATCTGTTCTTTGAATACTACTGTGCAGTTTGGTGAATTGAGTCGACTCACTTGTGTCAATTTTATGTCTGTTTACAACGTCAGTGCTGAACAGAGAATAAGCTTCCTGCATTTTTGTCGCCTATTACCCTGAAGATGACACTTAATCCACTATAAATGAAATGTTACAGCCTATGGAATAAGAATTACGGTTTTGATTTGTGAACAATGAGCTACTTACTCATTGCAGTAATCATTGGAGTGGACAACTCACTGATAAGCCATATAAATCGTTAGTTTTCAATCAACGACTAATAATTTGACTTAAAGCAATGAAAAGTGTGCAGAAACCTGGCAACTCACGCAAAACTATCCAACAAAACTTGAATAATACAAGCCAAAAAAACTATTGGTCCAAAAGTACTATGGATGGCTAAAGTTCAAGCAATGTGTAACAAAGTTCAAAGTAATCAACAAGCAAAACTGAACTGCCTATCGTCAAATAGAAAACACAGACGCAAATGGATAATGCTTTTATCAACAACAGTATAAATGAAGACAACTCATCTAAGTACAATATGAAATTCAACACCGAAAACCCTGTTTGGCTTTTTCACACCGGCAAGCTGATTGTGATTAGAATTTTTCCTTGTTACACAATCCCCTCTTATGGTAAGCACTGTCCACAGCGTCTTCCGTTTCCTAATTTGACTCCACTTGGGCACCCGTCACTCCTGGAATTAGAAAAAGGTGTGATTAGTGCAATTATATGATGATTAGTTATATCCCTCGAAATCCTGTACCATTTCAGTAGACATTAATGGACTACAATGCCTATTGCATTCTCCAACCCTTTTTTGATTTCATAAGTGTTCGCCATCACCATTGTTGTCACCAGATATGATCCTGTTCATACTGATAGTTGGTTATTTCTGCATCTATTTGAGTAGTCAAACTGCCTAAGCCACGCTGTCACTAATGTCTAACGTTGTTTCACATTGTTTCTTATCGTATTACGCCTTCTGTCGCTGATGGGCTTTATTGAGTTCGTCTCCAGCTCAACAATGATATCTTGCGATAGCATCTTTCAGTTCTGCAACAATTCCGGATGCTATAAGTTGAACATACCATTATCGCGTAACAATGACATCTCTCTGTCATGGTCACCAATTGCTTGTGATCATTTTATTGATACCTCCATCCCGCAAATCATTGTGATACTACAACTCATCTGACGACCAGGTCTCGCTTGCACGCATAATATCCCATTTACTATTATCAGTTGATCCTATATTGCCCAGAAACACCTGGCCTCTCAACTTTTATCTTTAATGTCAGTCATTTCTGGTTTTCCCCCACTGTTGCTTATTACTCGAGAGCTGCGACGTTTCACCGTCCGTGGCTTGCACATATGTGCAGTAAAACCTCTGCTTACGATACCGTACACACTGCCATCTCAGTAGATGACGAACAATCTCTGTACGCTCTAAACGACCATCTAGATAAAGTATCAGTATGTTGTCGTCCAGTGTACACATTCATAATGATACTACTGCAGATATTCTTGCCACATGGCGTTTAGACCTTCAGGATCTTCAAAATTCTGTAACCACTAAAGTGCTACATGATCTGTACGGAGAATAAAATTTCTCCTCCAAAAGATACGGTCTATACTTCTGTATGAATGTAACGGTTACCAACATTCTCTTGCGTGTTATACAATAGTTTCGGTCTGTTTAATTCGCAATACGACTCCACCACCAGTAGCGAATGTATCAGGAAAAGCCGAAACGGGCATGGAACACAAAGTCTCTCAACTGCATAGATGCATTCTCCCAGTCGGGTGACCAACTAAATGGAGCATTTTTACGTGCTAGATGGGTAAGAGGATTTACAATTTCGTATAGTTTTTCACAAAGCGGCAATAATAAGTTGCTAACCTAAAAAAGCTACGCATCTTGTTTACACATATCGGAACAAGCCATTCTTTTACGGTATCTACTTTTGGCGTGTCGCTATCTACTCCATATGGCCTTACATGACCAAAGAATGTAACCTCCTTCCGCATGAGGTAATATTTTGAAGGTTGTATTTTAAACTCGACATCTTACAGATGTTGCAAA